TATGAAAGCCGTTTCCTGTTACTCAGAGCTGACGGTCGGATTCGAGGTGAGAGAACAGCACCCTGCTGAGAGAGAGACAGTTCCAATTGGTGGGGGAAGTGTTATGGTATGGGGTGACATATGCAGAGATTTGACGACACAGCTTGTTGTTTTTGACGCAAATTTAACAGGCCGGCATTAATTTGATCAAGTTTTAATCCCCGTTCTACTCCTGTTCCTACAGGAACAATGTTCTGCCATGGCGAGTTCGATCCCCAGACCTCTCACCAAGTGAACATTTGTTGGACCAACTAAACCGGCAAGTTCGTGCATGTAAACTACCATCCCGCCAATCAACAAGCTTTGGTGAATGCACTCATACAGGAATGTCGGGCTATTCCAAACAACGTTATTCGGCGATTGAATAACTCGACGTCGTGTTCAAGCATGTATCGATACCTATGGAGGTCACACCCATTACTGACACTGAATTGTATATGGTAATGACTCATCTCACAAATCTTCAAGTCATTTCTCCAAGTTGTGATGAATGCTGTCCAAAACTGCACTTCTCTTGTGGCATATGTTATATTTGGTATTACAAATTCTAGTACTTTTTGAGTTGAGCCCCATCGGGGATTCGAACTCACACCCTCAGAGTCAGGCATCTAATCGCCAGCACACAAAGTCAGCCGCTTAACCTGCTCAGCTACCGCGACTTCCACATGCCCGGATGGGGCTCAACTCAAAAAGTACTAGAATTTGTACTTTACCAAGAAAGTGTAATCCCAAACATAACACGTCACGTTTTGACCACTTTCTAAATGGCATTGTGTCTTTCATTGCATTTCTCTTGTAAAAAAAAAACATGTAAATTTTATTAACATCCATTGATGAATGATTTGACGAATGAATGAATGAATGAATGAATTAATTAATTGTGCGTGTGCGTGCGTGTGTGCATGCGTGTGTGTGTGTTTGTGTGGAAAGACTTTCATTAGGCAAGGCTGTTGTGATTTGAGAATTTTTAACGTTTGTTTACCAGCAAGAAGAAGTCCGGACGCCTCTATGTGCAAATTAGCATTGAGCATGTTCACAGTTGCCTGCAACATTTCGTGTTTAATTGTTTGATCGCCATGGAGACGTGGCAGTTATCAAGGCCATCAACAACCTCACTGTTCTGTGCAATAAACAACAAACTGTCATCCATAAAGGTGTATGCTCCAGGTTTTAAATTTCGTATTCTATGTGTTCACAATGTATTGTTTCCATTGTATTGAGAGCAATTACAGACTAGTCATTTGTTTGCCCTGAATTAAAAAGATTTTACTTCCGTAGTCTGGTTTGTTTGTTGTTTCGGACTTGAACCTTTCTCCAAATGAGACGCCACTGGACGTTTGTGTGTAACCCTATACGTTGATGGCGATCTGTAATTACTTGACTCTGAAGCAGACACTCAAGTGATTCACATCTTGGGTATCAATCACCTAAATTGACTTCAAACACCATCAGGAAACTAACATTTCATCCAAGTGAAAAGCCATGGCAACATGAAAACCGTTTTCTAATTAGTATCGCAGTCTCTCAACTTGCTATGCAGCAGAGTGATAGTCATCGCATCGTCAGGTCTCCTCTGATTGTGCAGCATCAGGGCCCGAGAGGTTCAGACATAGTTGTAAAATAGGGTTTTCTTTAACCCTGGTTGCTAAAAAGAAACAGCCCCTTTCTACATTCAGAAAAAGCCTCTGCAAAACGCACAGCATTGTACAATCCCGGTAAAATCACAGGGTGGAAGTGCTGTCCTCACGAAATGTGGAGTTGCCCCAAAAGCAACTCCATTTCCTCGCTGGACAGTAAAAGGACAAGACGTGGCGCAAGAGTAATGGTAAGTTTTCCCACGCATTTTCAATATTTTGCAAGTATATCAATCAATCAGTTAAATCTAGGCCTAAGGCTTTGTACATGGTGCTGCCAGTTTTCCTAATCTCAAACCACAAATTAGTGAGTTGTTTTACACATTCTGGACCGACGGGTGTGTGGCAGATCCCTGAGACAAACATAGTTCTTTTGACTCGAAAGAAAACACACACTTTTCAGTGCTAAACAAACTTTGGACATCATACAACTTACAAGCGAGATAACCCAGTTTATCCAGTATGAATAATATCCCGTCAGTTGAGTCACTGATTTGGCAAAGTGCTGACTGCAATGAGCCAATCACATACGGGTATTTAGACTAACGCCAATTACCTGATGCAAGCTGTTTGAATGTAACCTTCCCTATCTTAAGTTCACGTAAATCTTTCAGTCTGTGTGGAAGCAATGTAATTATGCTCTGTACCTTCTTCGACAGCTCAATGTTTCAATGTACCTGAAAGGTCATCTGTTGTTTCCATGTTTTCATGGATCTGCAGATTTACAACTCTCTTCCATAAAAAGATACCAATGGTCAACCTCTTAGGAATGGTTTCGTATAATTCGTATGTAATCAACCTCTTCCATTGTATTCTCTCACAATCGGTCAACCTCTTCCATTGAATCTCTCTCACAATGGTCAATCCTCTTCCATTGTGTCTCTCACAATGGTCAACCTCTTCCATTAGATGCTCTCTCACAATGGTCGTGTCTTGCATTCCTATCTCTCGATTATGTGGTCAAACTCTTGTCATTGACCTGCTCTCGATTTCTCTCGAACAATGGTCAACCTCTTCCATTGTATCTCTCACAATGGTCAACCTCTTCCATTGTATCTCTCACAATGGTCAACCTCTTCCATTGTATCTCTCACAATGGTCAACCTCTTCCATTGTATCTCTCACAATGGTCAACCTCTTCCATTGTATCTCTCACAATGGTCAACCTCTTCCATTGTGTCTCTCACAATGGTCAATTCTTTCGTAAGCCTCAGTTGTCTTTCTTTTAAAGTTGGACTGTACTCAAAGCCAAAGAGATCTATATCACCATGTGTTTGACCTTCGTTATACACCTTTGGCCATTTCTTCTAAGTTCATTGGGCACAATTCCACCATATGCTTTAGTCTGTAATCTTAATTTCCTACTCTTTTCATATCGTATCCACTGCCTTAACTTTATTTGGTCTTGTGGATGTTCTTCAATAAGATGGTTGATGATAGTATTGAAATATTCCGTCATTCAATGACAGTAGTAGCAATTAAAAAGTTTAGCATCCATAATCAGAAACCTGCAATCAGGAAATGACATGTAAATATCTAAATATTCATATAACTCCATGGACAGTTAATGCTCTAAAATCCATGCAACTACATGGACAGTTACTTCAACGCAAACATTCAAAGCAATGGACAGTTTGAACACAACTCCATGTAAATGTACAGTTTCATTTTTCGACGATAACTGAAAAAAACCCTGATGCATTAAAGCCTAAATTGTTAATGAAGACCTAAATTAACTATATCTCAGAATTGACAGCCAAATAATGCGTGTCTGCAGATGAGAATGTCATATTTCGTGTTGAAACGATCATTTTCCGCGATCTTGTTTCGACACTCAGGGGGGTGCCCTCGCTTAACGCGCAATTGCAATAAATAAAGTGGCTGTCAAGCTCTTACAGACATCTGTAAATTTCTAGACCCGTCTGCCAAATGGCAAAACCTGATATACTTGCAAAATATTGAAAATGCGAGGGAAAAGTTAACATTACTCTCGCGCCACGTCTTGTCCTTTTACTGTCCAGCGAGGAAATGGAGTTGTTTTGGGGGCAACTGCACATTTCGCATGGACAGCGCTTCCACCCTGTGAATATTTTGAACTTTCCATAGCTATTTTGCTCTTTACACCAAATGGAAGAATGAAGATAGCTAAGACTGGCTTTTCTCTGGAGTGAGTGAGTGAGTGGGTATGGTTTTACACCGCTTTTTAGCAATATTCCAGCAATATCACGGCGGGGGACACCAGAAATGGGCTTCACACATTGTACCCAAGTGGGGAATCGAACCCGGGTCTTCGGCGTCACGAGCGAGCGCTTTAACCACTAGGTTACCCCACCGCCCCGCTTTTCTCTGGAACTGACGTTCGATATTCTATGAATTGCTATTAAATGGTGACATCAAACTGTATCATTATCCGGTGTTTCGTGCTTTCAAGTTCCCGATTTTTTTGTATTTGCAAAAAGGTGTGTGTATCCTGCCACTATAAAAACATGGCAGTTCCGTTGTCAACCTGAAACATAGGACTATGTGGTTCAGGAACAAGTTGATAAGGAAACTTTGGTGATTCTGAGATTAGATTTTGTTAGGGAAAGGGTTAGTTGTGCAATGGAACATAAATCTTGACAGACAAAGGAGGTAGTCGGCAATGACAACTTCAGATCGTGATGGTCGAATAGGTTGTTTTTTTTGTTGTTGTTTTGATCTTAGAGTGAAAGAATGATAAGAGTTAGATGGTGGGATAGACATAGGGTGCAGAAAGGACTTACTCACAAGGAATAAGATGTTTTTGTTTTTGTTTTGTCTTCTTTTTAAGAATAATTTTACATCAAGGAAACATAGATGACCATCATTTTCGCTGAAAATATGTTTTTCTAGTTTGAAATTTTTTATGAAACATATAAGTTGGTTGATATTTAATTCATTAGAGACATATCTTGTTTTGTTAATGTATGTCTTGATGATAATAAAAAAGATGGTTAATCAGCACAGTTGCCTAGGGGTCTCCCAGCAATAGTTCAATACTGGCAACAGTATTGTTGACAAAGACTACCTTTCACTTACACCTCCAGTAGGGACGACTTTGATCATTCACTTCTTGGGGTTCTTCAGTGTATATATGACTGGGTTGAGGAAGAGGTGCGTCCAAGAGATGTAAGTAGCAACAGTGTGGAGCCATCGTCCAGCAAGCTCCATGGATGGGTCAACAACATTCATCACCATATACGGGGTGTAGGTCACAAAGAAACATATCATGATCATAATGATCATGCACAGAAGCCGCACTTCCTGTTTGGAGTGAATTCCTGTGTTCGTTTGTTCAACATCTGACTTCTAATCCGCTATCTTCTGCTTGGATTTCTTGTAAGTGCAAAATAGCGATACGTAGCTGACGATGATGATTGGAACTGTCGTTGAAAGAATACACCCAGCAATAATCTTGGCAAATTTGTCTTTTCTTTCAATTGCACAATAGTTCTTGTCAGGGTCGTACCCAAAATGACCCAGAACGTCGGTCGCTGGAAAGATGAAGACCACGGCATACATCACCCAGCCAAAAGCTATGAGAATGATGTTATTCCTCGTCTTCTCATACACAGTGTTGTAAGTCTTGGGATGAACTATTTTCAGGAAACGGTTGAAGGTCAGAAGGTTAAAAGCGTTCATCTCGGCACAAATGTTGGTATACGTAAAATATGCAAAGAATTTGCAGAACAATGTTCCATAGATCCAACCATTGAAGAAAGAGTTGATGGCGATGAGGGGAAGAATGATTCCTGAGCTGAGAAGGTTGTTGACGCTGAGGTTTGCAAGGTATATGTTACAGGTTTGGTGTTTTCTACCCTTCTGAGTCAACCTGTAGATACTGAAGCTGTTGCCTACAGTCCCCGCCACAGCAATTGTGATGGAGCAGACTGAATGAAAGATGCGGAGCCCATTAGACAGTCCCTCAAAGGTCAAGGTCGAGTTTACAGAGACGGCCATTTTGATTCTGGAATGGAAAAATATAGCGGTTCAGTGAAGAAAAAATACCTCTGAACACTGATCAGCATGTTACTTTGACCCAACCCGCGTACTCGTGGCGTACTATCGTCAAATAGAAGTGGCCGGGTTCGATTCCCCACATGGAAATTTTAACTTTCGAAGCCCATTTCGTGTCCCCGCCGTGATATTGCTGGAATCTGAGTGTGGAAGGGTCGGCGTAAAACCATACTCCAGACAACATAGCCAGCCAACCCGTGTACTATGACAAATAGTAACCGTATCAGTATCGGGACATTTTAGATCTGAGTGTGGAAGGGCTAGTTTGGTGATGGAAACATTAGATCTCCGTGTGGAAGGGTTCATTTGGTGATGGGAACATTACATTTGAGGGTGGAAGAAATAGTTTGGTGATGACAACAATAGATCTGAATGTGGAAGGGGTTAATTTGGTGATGGAAACATTACATCTGAGAGTGGAAGAAATAGTTTGGTGATGACAACAATGAGATCTGAATGTTGAAGGGGCTAGTTTGGTGATGGAAACATTAGATCTGAGTGTGGAAAGTTTCATTTGGTGATGGGAACATTACATTTGAGGGTGGAAGAAATATATTATCCCCAAAAAGAAGCGCATAGGCGTTTTGTATTTTTTTAGATCTATTAATTACCATTTGTGTTCAATCAGTCGTCAAAATATGTAACAAAAGTGTTGATTACATGATTTTACACAATTGTACAATTGAAAAATCGACGTTACCTGAAAATGTTTGTTTTGATGAGATTTCTTACAAGAATTAAAAAGGCATCGCCACACCTTAGTTGAAATTGTGCAGCATAGCGCATGCACTGTCTGCCTATAAAAATTCAGATCACTTGGAAATCGGCATCGTTTTGAAGGAGTTTCAAGGTAAACTCACTACGCCACGTCTTGACGCTGCGACACGGAACATCGCCATTGAAAGAATGCACGCTGGAGATCTTTTGTTGCCAAGCGTCTGGATGTTCGTCTGAGCACGATATCACGGATTGCAGCTCGTTGCAACAAAACAGGTATAACAAATGACCGTCCCCGTACAGACGGCCCTAGAGTCATGGCTGCAGCCCAAGATCGGTACATCCGGGTACTACATTTGCGTGATCGTAACGCCACGGGTGGGAGCATAGCAGCCAGGGTGCATGGACTTCGGAGGATATCCGGTCAAACTGTACGGAACAGGTTGAGAGAGATTGGACTGAGAGCCAGGACACCCGACCTTGGGACCATGCTACGTCGTCACCATCGCGCTCAACGTCTCCGTTATATAGAATTATCAACTTGGATGTATAGACATTACCTTCTTCTAAACTGAAGTAAAAATTCATGTCCTAAAGTCTATTTGTGGACGAGTTATACATGTTTGAAAATACAAGATTTTCGCAACAGATTTCAGGGTTATGCGTTTCTATTTTGGAATAGTATAGTTTGGTGATGAGAACAATGGATCTGAGTGTGGAAGGGCTAGTTTGGTGATGGAAACATTACATTTGAGGGTGGAAGAAATAGTTTGGTGATGAGAACAATAGATCTGAGTATGAGGGTGGTGAGAAATAGTTTGGTGATGAGAACAATAGATCTGAGTGTGGAAAGGCTAGTTTGGTGATGATAACATTAGGTTAGAGTGTTACTTTCGTGTTGAGAATGTTGGACTTGCGGAAGGAAAGTAAGGCGTTAGCATCAACAGCATAAGGGTGAGTTCTATTTTCAGAGAATTCGTTCCTGGTGGGTAAAGGGCTCATCTGGCGAACTTAACTGAGAGTGGACTTAGAAGGGGAAAGTGCTTGATTGTATTAACTTGTCTGTGGTTAGAGCGTTGGCCTCTACGGTGTTAGGGTTGAAGTTAATGATGAGAATCCTACATTTCAGCTGTAAAAGGGTTAGTTTGACACACGCGAAATATTTGTTAAGAAACTATATTGAAACAACAGGTGTACTTACGTGTTGGAGAATTGAGTTTCAGGCGTTGTAGGGCAAAACAGTTGTACAAGCGTTGTTCGGTTGTTGCAGAGTTTCAGTCATTGTTGGAGTGTTGCGGTATATCAGGCGTTGTTCGGGTGTTTTAGTAGTTCGTGCGTTGGTAGGCAAACAGCTGCAGGCGTTGTTCGGGTGTTTTAGTAGTTCGTGCGTTGGTAGGACAAACAGCTGCAGGCGTTGTTCGGGTGTTTTAGTAGTTCGTGCCTTGGTAGGACAAACAGCTGCAAGCGTTGTTCGGGTGTTTTAGTAGTTCGTGCGTTGGTAGGACAAACAGCTGCAAGCGTTGTTCGGGTGTTTTAGTAGTTCGTGCGTTGGTAGGACAAACAGCTGCAAGCGTTGTTCGGGTGTTTTAGTAGTTCGTGCGTTGGTAGGACAAACGAAAAAGCTGCAAGCGTTGTTCAGGTGTTTTAGTAGTTCGTGCGTTGGTAGGGACAAACAGCTGCAAGCGTTGTTCGGGTGTTTTAGTAGTTCGTGCGTTGGTAGGGACAAAACAGCCGCAAGCGTTGTTCGGGTGTTTTAGTAGTTCGTGCGTTGGTAGGACAAACAGCTGCAAGCGTTGTTCAGGCGTTTTAGCTTCGTGCGTTGGTAGGACAAACAGCTGCAAGCGTTGTTCGGGTGTTTTAGTAGTTAGTGCGTTGGTAGGACAAACAGCTGCAAGCGTTGTTCGGGTGTTTTAGTAGTTCGTGCGTTGGTAGGACAAACAGCTGCAGGCGTTGTTCGGGTGTTTTAGTAGTTCGTGCGTTGGTAGGACAAACAGCTGCAAGCGTTGTTCGGGTGTTTTAGTAGTTCGTGCGTTGGTAGGCAAAACAGCTGCAAGCGTTGTTCGGGTGTTTTAGTAGTTCGTGCGTTGGTAGGACAAACAGCTGCAAGCGTTGTTCGGGTGTTTTAGTAGTTCGTGCGTTGGTAGGACAAACAGCTGCAAGCGTTGTTCGGGTGTTTTAGTAGTTCGTGCGTTGGTAGGACAAACAGCTGCAAGCGTTGTTCGGGTGTTTTAGTAGTTCGTGCGTTGGTAGGACAAACAGCTGCAAGCGTTGTTCGGGTGCTTTAGTAGTTCGTGCGTTGGTAGGGCAAACAGCTGCAGGTGTGGTTCGGGTGTGGCTGCTGTTCAGGCGTTGTTCATGAGCTGTAGGTTTTTTCGGGTGTTGCTAGGGCAATGCAGCTGCAGGCGTTGTTTAGGAAATGTAGTTTTTAGGGCTCTGCTGGGGCCAAACAGTTGTACAAGCTTTGTTCGGGTGCTACTGTGTTTTGAGACGCTGCTCGGGCCACTGGGTAGATCTAGTCGTTAGGAGACGTTGTTCGGGAGCTGCGTTTGTTCAGACATAATGACAACGATGATACTTTGCTCTTTCCTTCTGTCAATAAATGGGGTAAGATTTAATGTCACGTGGTCCATCATCATGAAATGTGGCTTTAATACTATTTGCATTACAGCTTGCTTCGTTATTGGCAAACACATTAGAACTGATGGCTGTGGCTATTTTTAAAAATACTACTTCCCTGAAACCCACATATTCATGAACTGCAGATACAATGAATCTATGAACGATCTGGATGTTTTCGATAGTATGTTGTAAGGCGTCTAGACTAAGGGTGTGGTGTGATATGGGAACATTGCTAAATAAAACACCTATGAATTCGTTGAGATGAGGAGACGAAACTAAATTATTCTACCTTTGATAAATATAGCAGACCGCCTCCGTGGTTATAGTCCGCCCGGAGAGCGCAAGGTCGCGGGTTCGATAATTTACCACGTTGTTTTACTTATGGTCCCGGGGGTGTAATTAATGAGTACGACCCTGTCGGCTCGGAGTCCCGCCGTGATATGCTTCACTGCGGAATGGAACATTGCTAAAGCTTAAGCGGCGTACAAAGCCGCACAACACATACACCTGCTCACTCGTCATATGTAATTATTCTACCAATTTCACCTCACCTGAAGCTTCATGATTAGCAAATCTACTACTATTGATGGCCGTAGCATGGGTGCAGAAACCAGGGTTCGTTTCTTAAGCAGCTGCACATGCAGCACGTGACAAAATGGTGAATGCTCCATTAACATGTGTTATCGAATTCCATTTTATGCCAGATATATTCTCGTAACGCAAATTAAAGTCCAGATATAAGTACCACTCTTGGTTTAATGTCCGGCCGTTTTGATATAAGTATAAGGTCAAACAACATAGGCTAACCGGGTGAAACATAAAGAAAGGACCTTTAGAAGTCAGAATCTGATATAAATAAAAATCAGACTCCTTTCGCTTGGAAAATGAATCAAGCCTCAATAAAATGTCGAGACCATAATATGGCAACCCTCATCAAATACAGAGGATTTCGTGAGCAAAGTCTGACTATCTTTTGATGTGAAGACACGAGCATTATGGGCACTCTTGTGTGTAATACTGACCCTGGTAATCCTTTAAATCATCCATATCATGTCGGAAGTTGTGTTGTATCGTTGGACAAGGTTATTGACTCGACGTGTCCATACACTGTGTTATCTTACCTCCATGTAACATACTTTAATTTCATTACACGATGAACCTGTAATAAGTTTCCGTGTCACCTTCCTGGGCGAGAAAAATTATTACCCGCTGCCACGGTAACCACCAAACTGCCGAGAAGCTGTTTCGCTAACAATCGTATGACGTCATAATATGACGCATGCAGTGCACGGAGTTGGAAAACCGTTCGATCAGCTGTTTTTGAGTTCACTATGTACACATTTATTTTACCAACTTTCACTGCTTTATTCATACTATTTTATACATTGCATCGTTTGCACACTAAACTTAAACATATTTGATCATTTTTATAGCAGTTTTAAGCTTGTCAGAATATGTACCACTGATTTTAAAAATCCAGTCGAGAGGCAGAGGCCATTTTGTTTACATGTCATATAGTTGGTAGCGAGTTTTTCGATCTTCCAAATAAAATAAAATGATATTTTTGTACATTTAACATGACTGTAAGATAATTATGTTGTAAACTT